GAGAGAGAGAGAGAGAGAGAGAGAGAGAGAGAGAGAGAGAGAGAGAGAGAGCGCGCTCCCCCTCTGCGACTCGATACATAATGGTGTTACGAGGGGCCCGAGCCGAGACGCAGTCACCCGGCCGCGAGCCCGGGAGAGAGGGTCGAGTGACGGCTCACACCTCCTCCGGGCGGGCCAGCGGGCCACTGCCAATTTGGAAAGAGGAAAGTTCACTCACTTGTGCCTCCCTGGCTAGAAATGGAAGTCTAAACGACGTCGAGTCGACCTAAAAATGGTCGACTCGACGTCGACGGCACTGTTCAGCGGTACCATGGTAGTGCACATATCAATGCACATCACCAATCATGTTTGATTTCATTTCATTCAGTTTAATTTTACTTAATAATAAAAATTTAATTTATGCTAGGGAAAAATATAGTAAAGGAAATTAAACTGAAGAAATAAAGTGAAATTCGTTGATAAAAAAGTTTAAGAACTAAACATAGTGCAATTATAATGTATATTCAGATTGACATCTGTCTGTCTGTCTGTCTGTCTGTCTGTCTGTCTGTCTGTATGTCTGTCTGTCTGTCTCCTTCCCTCTCCCTCCCTCTCTCCCTCTCCCTCTCTCAGCCGAAATCCCTCCTAACCTAACCCAACCCCGCAGCCCGTGGGCGGTATGCATTGGCTGGGACAAAGGGTAGAGCTCTTGCGCTTGACGTGTCTCGCCCTTCGTCCCGGCCCCGCCCCGCCGCGCCCTGCCCCGCCCCTACCTTGTTGGTGGACCGGGCCACCCGTGCCGTCTGTGCACACGACCAAGGCGGGGTGGGGTGGAGCGGGGCGGACCCGCAACAGCCGCCGAGTTAGGGGCCCGTGTAAATTTGCCCTGTCCGGGCAGATCCGGTAGTTGTCGACACTGTGTGTGTGTGTGTGTGTGTGCGTGTGTGTGTATGCTCACATTACGCTGGCCAGTCTTCCCCCTTCACCGCCCAAGCACTAGTCACTCACTATAGTAAGACATTTACGGTTGGTAAAAGTATTGCAAAGCTATGCAGACAACGTGGTAAACAATAAAAGAGGGTGCTTTTGTACAACCTCCACAACCGAGGATCGAACTTGAATTGGGAGGGGGAGGGGAGGGGGATGAGAGAAAGAGGAGTAGGAAGAGTAGGGGGAAGCGAGGGGAGGGGAGGGAGAGGGGAACACGAGTGACGCCAGCGTGGAGACAACAAGGTTTCTGGCTCATCACGTCTCGTTCGTCGGGTCGCGCTTATCCACTTTGAAGCGGATTAAGTCCGGCGCGTCAATACGGGGGGTATTAATTGCATCTCTCGAAACGCGCTCAACAGTGCGACGGTATAATGATGCCCCTACTCCCTGGCCCGCGGCGAGGCGCCACCCCGACACCGTCGCCACCTAATGCTGTTTGTCAAAAAGGGGAGTAGGGGTGGGGGATGATTTGAAAAATAAATAAATGCTAGACTAGCCTTTCTTAACCACCTCAAGTGAAAGACTTTGGAATGACCCTCATAGATGGAAGTTAGAGAGTCGTGGTCAAAGAAAGAAAGAGAGAAAGCGTAGAAACAGACAGAATGTAACTTACCCGGTAGCAGATGAGCGCCATGCGACCGTCGTGGCTCCAGGCGAAGTTGGTGACGGGCGTGTTTCGGTCGTTGATGAGCTCCACGGACCAGCGGCCCTCGTACTTGATCCACACGAAGATGATCCCGGACGCGTCGCAGCTCGCCAGCTTCTGGTAGGGCTCGTTCCATTTGACCAGCATCACCTGCGCACACCCCGACACAATATGGTCATTGGACCTCCCTAATGCACTGCGTCGAAACTTCCTCGCAAATTTTCGAAATATTTTGTAATTCATATTTACAAAAACCATGTTATTGTAAATTTGTGACACCCCAATCCTGCCTGTATGTATTTTTACATAATTATTCGAGGGGGCCGCCACTTCGATTTAGGATGTACACAGGGTTGCGTGATTACATGGATTTGGATTACACGTGAATTTTAAGGGATTACACAAGCATTTTGTTGAAACTATGGCTCTAAAACCATTAAATTTGAACAATAAGGTGAAATTTAGTGGTAATGGTTTAAAATTTGGTATAAGTATTAGCACGTTGAGGCAATCCCATGTTATTGGGGCCCACGGTGTGGGTCACGCCGCACTCAACGTGTTACGGATTACATCAGGATTACACCCTCACCTGTACACAGGATTACGCGAGTGGTGGCCCCCTCGTAATTATTTTGGCGACCCGCGTCATAGAAATTTACCCCGTCAAACGTACAGCTATTATTTTCCACAGCGTTGGGGTACGTCGGTGAAAATGCAAGGATTCAACTGAATAATAATAATCATATTTTTTTTTAAATGAGCAGCCTTACAGCGCTGTGGCTGCCGCTGCCGCTGCAGGTGATGGGCTTGTAATAACGACCTCATGGACTGGGCCACCGGACCCACCCCACCCCCGTGTTACTCAGGTGAGGCTGCAGTCCCCGCCCCCTCCAGTAACATGGCCCCGAAAT